CTATTATAAATGGAAACAAATGTCATGATTCTGTGTTGTTACAGTAGTTAGCACCACTGGTGTCTTCTCCTGCTCCTCTTTGGCTGCAGAAATTTGGGTTATTGTTTCCACTTGCCTGCACCCTAATCACACCTAATTCAATCCACATGTCCTTTCTTTATATACTACTTTCTGTCTGGAAACAGTGCCAGATTATAAAAAGTCTTTGAATAAAGAAATGTCCAGCGTTATTCCCCTACTTATCTGTCCCATCATGTCCCATTCTTTTTGGTTTTTCTGTTCTGCCTTGCTCACTTCAAATGTTCTCCTGGCCCATGATCTCTGGACATCAGCCTTGTTTCTGCCAATCCTCTAGATCTGTCAACCCTGTGTTCGACCTAATATCTCTGCTCCAGCAACCAATTCAACTGTGATTCTGCCATACTGTTCCCTGTTTCTCCTTTAATGACTCTGATCACTAAGACCAGCCAGACTTCGGGATTCGTAATCCGGAAGTTTACGAATCCCTCTGTGTTCTGATTGTGGATCCTTTGGATTAAAACCCTCACATGAAACCAATAATTCATTTTCACAGCCTGTCAAGTTTACAGTGACTCCATCCACTTGTCTCCAGTCTGCTTCACTGGTGAACAAAAATTCAACAGCCTCGCCCAACTTCGGAAACCTAAGAAAGGTATTGAATTTATTTCTGAACTTAACCTCATCCTCAAGTTCCTACCTTGCCGGCCTCTAACCTTTCTCCATCCCTTCAGAGGTTCCACTGCTGGTGGCCTCCTGTAGTTCAATTAAAGGTATAGTGGAGGATGTGTTTTTTCCAGGTGGATAATCAAAATAAGTGGTCCTCCTAATTGTCAATTTTCTGGTTATATGTTTACGAAAGGTCCGTCCTACGTGCTCGTCTCTATTTTCAAATACCAGTGGTGAGTCTGAAAAATTGTAAATCTTCCTTTGGAAAGTAAGCATGTATGAGCGATGCAAACAGAAACCTTTAAACAGAGCGTTCCCTCTCTACAGAGTTGTGCATGTGAATAATTTTCAAAGTGGAGAAGGCGGGTCTTTTCAAAAACTTGTGAAGATCGTTCACAATATCATTTAAACAATTGCAAAAAATAAAAAACTTGAAAGTCCATGTGTCTTGCTGAACTTTTGAGTCCTCAGAGTAATCCATCACAAACATGTCTAAACGTGTCAATTTTTATTTCAATGCTTAATTATAACAAATAAAAATAGTTAAATTGTCATAATCCTGGCGCTGATGGTTGTTATTTTTTTCCCATTTTCCCCTGCTCATCTGCCTAATTGGCCCCGCGGCTGATTACCGCCGTTCTGATTCACCCGGTCCCCCCAGCTATTTATGCTGTTTGCTTTCCTACCATCAGCGCCACATTATTCAAGTTGTTTCGTTGTGAGTAACTCTAACGTTTAAGTAAATGTTTTGTCTTGTTGATTCTGATCTGTTTTTTGCCTATGGATTTTCGGCTTTTGCTTTCTAAAGTCTTCTAATCAACAAGTCTATTACCTTATGCTAGGTAGAGTGTCCTGTTAACAACATATATATATATATATTTTTTTTTTTTCCATAATATTAATTGTTATGCTACACCTTTTTAAGAGGAAGTAGAACACCTGTAGTCATGGCTTTTATTGAACAGTCTGATACCTCAAGGTTGAGCACTTATTACATGGTACTAAGAATCCATGGCTACTAAACCAGGTATACTTAACAGTTTTCTCATTTAATTCCATTCAGCTGAAACTGTTGTCTAATTCTTGTATTTTAATCTTAAACCAAAATTTCTTACTCATGAAAAAAACTAAAGAAACAACTGGAGAATTAGCTTTGCTGTGCCAAGGCCTTTAGATGGGACATTAGACTATTAAAATGCCAGAGGAAACCTTAAAAGCAATACAAAGAAGGGTTTGATTGCTGTAATGTGGAAAAGGATTTTCCATTGGTTACTGAGAATAGCAATGGTATTTTAGGTAAACATTGTCTTTATCAGTATTATATTTCTACTATATTCACTGTAATCAGGAGCAGATCTGGGGGGGGGGAAGCCCCACAGATGTGGAACCTTGCCCCCCCTTCAGCTGGCCGCTACTTTTGTGTGTTTGAAATACTTGTAATGACAAATTCTTTGCTTGCACAAAAGCCCCACTCAGACAATAAATTAAACATTAATATACAGAAACATACATTATATACTGCAATATTTATATTTTCTATCATAAATAATATAAAATATAAAAATAATAAATAGGCTGCAATGAGAACAAGGTATTTAAATAGAACAACTGTATGTGGTTTGACTTGTTTAAAGCCAAAAAGATGAGTTTGTTTCTAGAAGAAAAAAAAGATACAGTATATTTTTACAAGTTTTGCTGATGTGTTGATTCAGTTACATGTAAGACATTTAAAACATATTTTGATATAAAATTTTGACCAGTGAGGTGGTGTTTACAGTCCAGCTGAGGGTGTCTGTTATGTGCACCCACAGGAATTTGGTGCTGATGACCAACTCTACAGCTGATCTGTTGATGAACAGTGGAGCGTGGTTAGGCCGGTTCTTCCTGAAGTCAATGATGCTCTTCCTCTTCTCCACGTTCAGGATCAGGTTGTTATCTTTGCACCAGCCCACCTGCCATGCCACCTACTCTTTCTAGTCCAGGTTTTTGTCGTCTCTAATGAGGCCCACCACTGTAGTGTCATCTGCAATCTTCACGATTGGATTGGTAGTGAACCAGTGGACACAGTAGTGTGACATCAGGGTCAGCAGCAGTGGGCTCAGGATGCACGCCCTGAGGGGAGCCTGCACTTACCGTGATGACATCACAGGTTTTCTGACTAAGAGTGAGCACACATATGAAACAAGTAGGTTACCCCTTTTTGTTTGTCTAGAACTCGCTTCATACTGAGGAGACAATTCTACCATTTGATTCAATTTGGTTAAATTCAAAGACTGTGTATTATTTAATTTTGGCCACACAGCTACAAATAAAACACTGATAAAACTAGATCTGCTAGGATTGACCACAGTTTTGGAAACTCTGCTGTGGTCACTGATTTACTAAAGTTGACAGCTGATCATGTAAGAAAGCATATTTATGTGACCTTCCAGATGTTCATGGTTGTATAAAACAAGAGACATTGAAACTTCATAGAAGAAGCTTTGGAGAAGACATGTTCAGGTCACTCTATGTATCTCAGTGGTCAAAAACTCGCTGTGTGCAGTCCCAGCCATGAAGATTCTGAGTACAGCTTCTCCAAGAAGAGACTGATCTCTGTCTAATTATATAAGGCTGTTTTCTTCCTCTACCAAAGACTGCCACAAGACCACAGCCTAAAGAAACAATCATTTGATGAGAGGTTAATGGTTGTGTGTGCTAACATCCCATTGGTTCCTCTGGAACTCTGTGAGCTGAGGCTCTGTCCTATGTTACAGGAAAGAGAGAATTAGTTCAGGATGTTTCAGTGTGTTTGTTTGATATGCTTTGAAATTGTACGAAGCCATGAAGTCTTAGCTCACTTGTTATATATACTCCTCTTTCATTGTGTGGTTTTTTGGCTTTGTAGTTATCCAGTTACATTCAAAATAGGGTCTGTATATGTCTGCCATTTCTAGAACTGTACAGTCTGATCGTTAAATAGAAATGCTGTAATATTTGAGTCCTGATTGGAAGAGTTCTGACTGATTAGAGGCCTATTTGGACTGATTTCCTGTGCCACCCCGCCATCGGAGTCATCCTGGAAGAGTTTGGAGCATACTGTACGTCTTCTAGAACACTCTTTGACTCGCTGAGCATCATGGGAGTTGCTGAGCCCTGCCAGAGGCTTCGCTTTGCTTTTCATTTGATCAAGCTGCCGTTGGAGCTGCGGCTGTTGCCAGATTGCCCTTTCTAGTTTAACAGGGCAGTGGCATAGGCCGGGGTGTCCTGTGCAGAGATGGTATGCTGAAAAGTTTTTATTGGTGTTCTACTGTAAATACTGTAGCTTCACTGTTGCCTTTACAGTCTATCCAGTTCTGCTCCGCTGCTCCTATCTCTTCTTCAGTGATGGGATATCAGTCCTGGTTCTGCAGAATCTACTATGATTTCTTTATACTTTGTTTACACTTGAAATTAAATTATTATTCCTGCACCATGCCTTACAGCAGTCCAACAGCTGTACAACTTTCTGTAGATTACAGAACTGTGACTTGTAGGGAAGTTCAATGATGTACAGTGAATAAGAAAAGTAAAAGTAACGTTCCCTGTAGTACCCCTTATTACTGATTGTCTGGTCGGGCACTCAACTCTTCAGCCTCACAAGTTGTGTTCATTTCATTGGTCATTGTCTATTCAGGAAATGGTTGAGGCCCCCTGCTCAAGTCGGGGAATTTTGGTAAACCTTTATTTAACCAGGAAAGTCGCCATTGAGATCAACAATCTCTTTTTCAAATAAGAAATGGCAAAAAAGAAACATGGATGCAGATTTGCTTCCTCAGTTGACTGAAGCATGGAGATACCAGAAAGCACTGGTCCTGTATCATGCAGTTATTGATAGTTATTCATAGAAATAAATCAGAAAGAGATTGGGTGAAACAAGACACATGTGGAAACCACATCTCTGGAGGAGAGAGGTAAGTTTCTCATATTTTTTTTTATTAGGAACACTATGCATTAACGGCCTTCCATCTCTCTTCTCACTTTGTAAATATTCCAACTCCATATGAGCTACTGCTCCATGGTTAGGTACCTACTATTGCTGGTGTTATTGGCTAATGAGTCTCTTCTATGCCTCCATCCATTGGCTGGTTGCAGCAGGGAGGGAGGAGCAGCTAACTACCTCCTCCCCTCCTCCTGTGGCTGAGATGGTAAATGTAGGGACTCTTTCTCTGGCTTTTATCTGAGTGACTTCAGCTTTTAGCCTCTCAGCGAGTGTGTGAGAGTGCGTGTGTGTGTTGGAAAGAGAAACGAGTTAAAGAGAGCAAGGGAGGGAGGGAGGGAAAGCCAAGCAGCGTTTCTTTTTCTCCCCCCTGCTCCTTGTCACTCCATCCTTCCTCCCCTAACCTGGACCACCCTCCAGTCCTGCTGCCGGCCCAAACCAGGACCCCTTACCACCCATACCACCCCGGGACCCTTTGACTCTCCTCACTTCTCCGTCCCACCAACCACCACCCCTGAGCAGGTAAGTCTGTTCCTTCAACCTACAGTTTTTGCTTGTTCTCTTCTTCTTAACCCACTAAGGATTCATCTAAAACAAAGAGCTCCTTTTTATTGTCTTATTGCCCTAACATTCTAGGTACTCTTTGCCTTTTTATGTGTGCTTTACCTGCAGCTCTTTAGAGCCACTCTGACTAAAGTGACACAGATGCAGGAGATGCTATCACTGAGGTCATTGTGTCTTCCCTCCTTGCTTTTATGTTGTGATAAGAACTTTCTCCTTGTTGTCTCCACAATCTTTCCTCAGAATCTCTCCTCATGTCTGTAACTGTCTCATCCCCCTGCAGCAAATTTTCAGAGATCCGTTTGATTTCTAACTTCCCTCCATAAGCAAAGATTGACCAGGAAACATGCTGGAAAGGAAGGTTGTGTTTGTCTCGGTTATTAATTGTTTCTGGGAGGCTTTGGCCAATTCTGAACGGTGGGATAAAACAGAGGACTGACGGTCGGCCCCAGAATGCATGACGTTGCACAAAGTGTAATGACTTTACAAGGCAGTGAGATGCTTGATTGAATCAGGCAATCCTTCTGGCAGCAGATCGCCAATATTAACATGGCTCATAAAGCATTCCTGGCAGCAGCAGGAAAGAGAAAAACTGCTTAGTTCTTTAGCCGCACATCCTGCACTCCACCAGGAAGGGGAAGTGCTCTCTGTGTGTGTAAGACAGTGTGTGTGATTAAACTGAAGTGCTTTAGACATCAATACTGCCAGCCAAGAGATTTTAAAGCCACTTTATCAAATCTGGAAATTGGACCTTACAGCAAAGACCCTAAAAAAATGCAGTGTTTTTCTCCTTGCAAATTTCAACAAGGATTCAGATGTAAAAAAAAAAAAATATAAATAGGCTAAGGTCTTTCTTTGGGTTGTAAATCATCAAATATGTTACTTTATAACCTGATAATCCTTATTTTATTTTGTAGAGTTTTTTTATTTGAAAATAATCTATGCATTAGAAGCTGATTTTTAATTTAAAAAATTGTTATCATCCTTTCATATACGTATTTGCTTGTCATACGTATAGTTCAATAACTATAATTCCAATACAATACTATCAATACATATTAGTAAATCAATAATGTAAGGAAGATATTTGATGAATGTAAATAATATTTACAATTCTAAACCAAAGTAATCCATAATGTAAGATTAATTAAAAAATTTTTTTTCATGTTTATACAAATTCTAATCTTAAATGTTTTTGATTATTTTTTCTATTTTCTACATCTTTCCAAACATGCAGAAATTCTTCAGACTGAAACTGTGAAACCCTATTTTGATCATTTTTCTGTATAACTGTTAACACAAAGATGGATGTAATCAAAGATGGGCATAGCCCTTATTATGGAACATAGCCGAACCCTTAGGAAAAGCCTGTAGTGAACAGGGATCCCTGCTTCCTCCAGAACCCATGCTCTGCAGGAAAGCAGCTGGCTCTTTGTGCCCTGGCCCTTTTAAATCGTTCCGGTTTTCCTGCTGGTCTGGCCCAGACCTCCAAATGCTCCAGGAGTTTTCTGAGAAGGATTTGGCTCAGAGTTTGTCATAGTGCTCATACAGAACAAACAGAAAATTTAAGAAACCATGATTATTCTGAACTAAAGATATGTAACCTTATGTAGGTTTTCATGTTGTTTTAGGATGCCTCCGCGACTCATTGCAGATGGTGACAGATAGAAGCAATCCAGCAAAAAAAAAACGTCCCAGTTTTTACCTGAATGCATGAGGCTGTTGTGGAGCAAAAGAGTCAAAGACTGCAGCACCCTAGGTGTTCAAAGAAGAATGACCATAGATCCTTCCTAAGCAGCTGTTAGACTGCCGTTAGACTGCTCCTTGTAAACTCAATTATTTCAGTATGAAAGTGTAGCTGTACTGCTCCACTTGTGAAAGTAAAATATGTTGGGCTCTTTTTGGCATCAACACAATTATTGTTATTGCCACATTACCAGACAGGACACTGTTAAAAAAAACAAAACAAAAAAAAACCCCTCAGTTATTTCAAATAAATAAACTATTTTCTTTTTTTTTGCTGTTTTCAGCTATAAAAACCAATTTTTTATATTTAAAAGAAGATAAAACCCAACTAATTTCATATTCATTATACTCTGAAATTGGGATATCTATACAGTATTTTTTTTATGTTATAAACATGTTCCTAACATGCTGACACCAAAGTATTTCCACACGCAGTAAAACATGACTTCTTAGCTATAGTTGGTTGTGTGCAAACTACAGAGTATAATTGACAAAATAAAGAAAGGGATTAGAGTTTAGCTTTATTAACTGCCTTTACTCAAAGGATTATAAAGTACTATGTGTTGCAGCTGTCTCGTTTAAACTTGCTGTTTGGGAGGAGTAAATCGGGCATCTCCAACCTGGGAAAATCATTTAACCCTTAAAAATTAAATATTGGGATATGTTAAGGTAGGGAAACTAATAATTTGTCAAGTATTATACTTATAGTAATAATTAGTTTTCAATTTTTTTTTTTTTTTCAGAAATAAGTAATTGTAAAACACATTTTCAAATCAGGCTAAATACAAAGTGTTTTTTGAAACAAAAAGAATGGTGTGTTCCCTCTTTAGCAACTTTTTCCATGTTTTTTGTTCTTAGAGACGTATTCTGAGTAACATGCCTAAACACAGCAGAAATGGTACAAATTAATTTTTATGCCCTATGAAAAACGATTCAGGGATTACCAATCAATCCACTTATTCCCATTTTGGATTTTAATACACATGTTTAGAGTTTGTAATCTTTTTATATGATTAATTCAATTCAATTCAGTTTATTATATAGCGCCAAATTCACAACACATGTCATCTCAAGGCACTTTACAGTTCAACCAGATCATACAGTCAAATTGATACAAAGTTTTCTATCTAAGGAAAACCAGTTGATTGCATTGACTCAAATACAATCCCTCACATTAAGCATGCTTGTAGCGACAGTGGAGAGGAAAAACTCCCTTTTAACAGAAAGAAACCTCCAGCAGAACCAGGCTCAGTGTGAGCGGCCATCTGCCGAGGCTGACTGGGGTTCAAGGAGACAGAAGCAGAGACTAGTTTCCCCATTTTCAGGAATATTTACACTGTGGGACAATGAAGAATATTTCTATTCTATTCCTTATTCATCCATCCTCTTACGCTTAGTCCATCAGCGTGATGATGGGGCCGGCCTCTGTGGGTGACAGGCTGGATACAGCCAGGACAGGTGCAGAAACACACACAACAAAAATACACCCACCACACACACCCAGCCAACTAACCTAAGATTCATGTTTTTGGACTGTGGGAGCAAGCCAGAGTACCCAGAGAGAACCCACGCATGCAAGAGGAGAAAAGGCAGACTCCACGCAGAAAGCGGGCGGGCCAGGAATCAGACCTAGAACCCTCTTGCTGCAAGGCAACAGTGCCAAACAGCCCTCTATTCTATTCTATTCTATTCTATTCTATTCTATTCTATTCTATTCTATTCTATTCTATTCTATTCTATTCTATTCTATATTTTGTAATTGATAATATTCCAACTATGAAAGACTTTTATTTTTTCTTATAGCTTTATTTTGAAAGGCTTTATTAATCCTATTTTGCAACTTGCTTCTTCCAATAGAGTCTATGGAAAATACTCTGTAGTAAGAAAACCTTAAAAAAACACTTCTATAATAAAGACTGGTCATTGTGTCAAATTAAAGCCTATTGACATTTTTCCAATAGGAATTAGTTCAACTAGTGCAGTGAGAGCTTATAAATCATCTAAACTAATCAAATATAGAGGATTTGTCACTAATGTGTCTCTGAGTGATTTATGTTCAAAGGCTGATATAATCCTTTCTTTGTGGCTGTTTTTGATCCTTCGGTGATGTTAAACCTACTTTAATTTAATTAAAGCCTTTATTTTCTGGAAAGAAATAGGATCAACAGGTGAACCTGAGGAGACATCAGAGTGACATAGGACATGAGTCTCCTTTTACTAGATTGACTTGTTTGTTTCTGCTTAGTTCCTGGATGGTTTCTCAGCCCTCATGCAGCTCAGAGTGGGATTTATTTTCAGTTAACATTGTCTCTGACGTAGTCTCTGTGTTTCTGTAGTGGAATAGAGGTCAATTTGTCTCTTATTTTATTGTTTTATTTTGAAAACCACAAACCCTTAACAATCTTAAAAAAGCTCATAAACAAGGAAGCGATTTTTCTCGTATTGCAATCACATGGGTTTCATTTTACAATAAACCATTAAAATCAAGTTTAGTTTTTGTATGGGAAAAATATGACACATTAAAACAGATAAATACATAAATTAATCTAAACTGTAATTGATATATCAGTCATTACATAAAATCCTGTTTTTTTATAACTGCAATCATTATTGATAATCTCTGCATGAGAGTAATAAGCATTTGTTAATCCTCTATTGCAAAGCATCATTAATTTGACAACAACTGCATTTAAACGTCAGTAGGAGGCGCTCTCTCATGAGACTGAAATAAATGTTTATTTACAGTACCCAAGCAAAATCTTATTTTAATACAAATGTGTTTTCTGGGCCTTCATTTAAAACCCATTTTTTTTTAAATCTTAAAAATTATATAATATTTCCAAAATCTACAGGATGTTTCTTACTGGGTTTATAGGAACTGAACTCCTCTTGATTTAACTCCAAATCTGTCAGACTGGAAGGCTTCCTGGTCATCATCCTAATCTCTAGATTCCTCTGCATACTCTATGAAATTCAAGTAAGACTTGAACTCTTCTGCTCTAACACATACTTTTTAACTAATAATTTCTTTGCATGTTTCACACTTTTGTCCGTTCACACGTTGCAACCAGAAATAAGTCATGCAAGTTTTTTTAGAACTAGGATTCAAAATGTTTAGTAAATAACTATTTACAGTCGAATGTTGTTTAACAATGAATCTGTTCTTTCTTAGTCAAAATTCTGTATTGTTGTTGAGAGGTTCAGCCCGAAAGCCT